AAAAAAACCTTGATTAATATCTTTGTACTCATACAATATTACATAAAGACGGAAAGTCTTCGTATTTCACTACAAAGAAGGCATCTCACCTAATTAACAAGATAAAAATGTAACCGGAATACTATTCTGTGTGGAATTTTCATCTACCTAGTGAGACAGATTTGAAAAAATTAAATTCGCCAATTTTTCTTAATGATAGCAAAGTTAATTGAAAGTTTAAAACAACAACAACAATGAAATTAATAAATAACTGGTATTAAAATAAAATAAATAAGAATGTGTTTTTTTTCTCATTCTGATTTGTAAATCACTTAAATAATAATAATTACAATTCACTTACTTAATCTAGTTCACACCATAACAGTTGTTCTTTATGCAAGTGATGATAATAGCGCTATACCGATACTCGTCAGTCATATACTAGCCTGCGCGATAAGGCCTGGTGTTGAGTGAAGGCTTTGACGACGCTGCTTATGGCAGGAATAGTTTGGTTGATATATTATTACGTAATCTTCTTTGCTTTCACCCATAACTTTTAATATGACATGAAAAACAAACTATCTACTTTATGAGTAGACAACTCGGTCAAAAATGTTAATTTGTCTGTGTAACTATTAGCTCCATATTTTATGTGCCAGCAAAGTCCAATGAGCCTTGGTAGTGTGACAGTTTGGTTTCGTTTGAATTTCGCGCAAAGCTACAAGAAGGCTATCCACGCTAGCCGTCCCTAATTTAGCAGTGAAAGACTAAAGGGAAGGCAGCTAGTCATCACCACCCACCGCAAACTCTTGAGCTACTCTTTTACCAATGAATAATGGGATTGACTGTCACATTATTACGCCCCCACGGCTGAAAGGCGAGCATGTTTGGTGGGACGGAGATTCGAACCCGCGACCCTCAGATTGCGAGTTAAGTGCCCTAGCCACCTGGCCATGACGGGCTAGCGTGACAGTCCAGAGTATTATGTTTCAGTGCAAAGCTACATAATCAGCTATCTGTGCTGTGCCCCCCCCCCCGGTGAACGAGCCCCGAATTCTAAGATTACAAGCTATCAAGCTTATTGCTTAACAAGGGCCAGTCTTAATGTTCTTAATGTTGAAGACAGTACATTTCAACTACAATTCTACTGCTTTGCTTTCATCTGTTTCAAATTTTAAATCAGGTCAAGGTCATATTCAAAGCTACTTAATACGATACAATAAAGTACAGACTAAGGTAGTGTACAGTGTCAAAATAATCTATATGTCAGGTTTTATGTATGGGTCGCATTCTTTACAGTAGGTGTCTGTGACTTGTTGGCGATAAATTTTAACCATAAACAAACAACACACAGTTTATTAAAATATATACTAAAACGAGTCAAACGTATATACACTATTGGTTATCACAGTTGCATCCAGAGCTTTAAATAATTGTCCCTTTTTCGTCAAAGTCCACACAGCTGGGTTCAATTACTTTAGAACACAATTTGAAAAGATGAATTATTCTTCTCTACTCTGTTATTACAATACAATGAGTGATAAGTTCACTTTAAAAATCGCCTCTATATGCTTTTTATGGCTAAACTCACAATCACGCAGTCTAGATCTAACTATATCGAACTATATTTTCGACACGTATTTATACCCCGACAGAGATCTAGAACATTACACACGATACTAGATATTATGATGCAATAATACTCAATTAAAATAACGGGAAAAACTCAGAAAATTCTAGTAACACGACGCAGTAATATAACAATCATCAATTCATAGCTATTGAACTACACAACGTATGATTCCTAAACAGTTACATAAACAAACTTGCGATAAACTATCGCTTCTAAAAATAACTAAATTTAACACTCGTGCTGTATAAACTATCTAAATCATAACCCTCGCATTAAACTTAAACTGAAACATTCGTGTACATCAACGATATATTGTTTCAACATGCATTTATAAAAATCGGTATTTCTATATCCTTAATTGGAGACAAACTTAACAGTTTCTTTTAGTTAGGAGGGTCGCAAGGTACTTAAAATATTCAGTGCTCGGGCTTATTTTAGGCGTTTCAGTCTGATATCGATCATGGGTTTCTATTCTGATTTTTCAAGACAACGACTAGGGATTCAGGACACTATCGAATAGAATCGGGGCAGGGCCCGTGTGCCTAGCGGCAGTGCCTAGCGACGCCTCTTCTTTTAATCTTGGATGGCTTAGAATACACCATTTATATCATTGTAACTATGGATAAAAGGAGGTCTGTTGACGTTTTGTTCTTGAATGACATTCAATATCACCATTTATATTAACCATGGTCATTTCTTAGAGACAAAATAATAAAAGGCTTTACTTTTAGACAGTTTACAGAATCGCTGGTTATTGTATGTCGCTGCCAACGAGGCTTTCCTCCAATACCAGAGCTCATCAAACCGGTTGAATTAAGTAAGCCTCGCTGACAGCGACAATTAACAAATAAAATACAGTATATATATGTAGTGTTATTATATACACCTCAATACCAGAGTTCGTCAGGATGGCTGAACTGGGTATACTTAGTAGGCAGTGAATTAACAAATAAGGTATAGTATATATTAAGTGTTATT